AAGCACTTTGGTATACCGCTGGTTTTTAAATGTGCTCTATAAATAAAGATTGTTGTTGTATTTAAAAATCTTGTTGTACTGTCTAATTTTATCAGCTTTAGTGTTGAGCATGAACCCTTTTTTTATGCTGAAATTTCAATGCGGATCATCAAGAATGACATTACCATACTGGGCTCAGGTTAACAACCACCACATCCGGTGCTGTTGGCCAACAGAGTTGCAGTGGAAACTTGGTAGTGTTGACCAAAGACAAAAGACAAAAGTAAGAAGAACGATGGAAGATGTTTTTGCAGAAAGTGAGTGAGAAGGAAAGGTAGGAGTGTGGGTGTGACAATAGAGACTTTAAAATACAGGAAGATGGAAAGAGCTGGCTGATATGATGGATAGATGACATAACTGTAGAGGTATGGAGGTATGGAGATGGACAGTGGGCTTTTTAAACAACTTTAACACAATCTGGAAACGTGAGAGGACGCCTGAGGAACAGGAAAGAAGTGTGCTGGTGCTGATTGTCAAGAGCACAGCGCTGTACATCACCCTCTTCGCTAGGGATAAGTTTCATGAGCCATGCCATGAAGATATGGGAAAGAGCTGTTGAAGCTCAGTTAAGAAGAGAGGTGATGATCAGCAAGCAGTAGTATAGTTTTCTTCCAAGAAAGAGCACTATATAGATGGGCTGTTTGTTTTGAGAGAGCTGATGGAGAAGTGAAGATCAGAAGCTTTACTGTGTCTTTGTGGATGTAGGGTAAGAATATGATAGGGTGCCAAGAGAGAACCTGTGGTACTGCATGAGGAAGAGGAAGGATAGTGGGGCAATGGGCAATGGATGTTCAACGATGTTCAACCTGCCAGGCAGGAGGAAAAGAGGAAGATGTCAGAGGTGGCTCATAAATTTAGTGAAGTAGAAAACCTGTCACATGTGACAGGGGAGTGTGGTGGAGAAGGAAATGACTGAAACAATAACATCCTACAGTTGCTGCAGATTTGTTGGCTTATGTGTTTCAGTTGGGGAAATAGAGAAGTCACAGTATATGTCATGTTGAAACACCCGGACAAGTGAAAATGTGCAGCTAGGCATTTTTACTTTTCACTAGAAGTTCGTGGCCTTTCTGGTACTTCTGCATATTTGTGCTTAAGCTGCATTATCAGCTGCTTAACATATTTAACTACTTTTATCTGATTTAAGTTCAGTCTGAACTTTGATCATTGATGGCTCTCTTCTATAATTTCTAATTCCCACTCTAGAACCACATCCACACATTTTCATTAAAAACACTGTTGCTGTTGCCAAAGCCTAGCACATGTACAACACCAAATATACTGGGCCCAATACTGGAATCAATCATGTAAGTACACATGAGAGGGGCAACAAAGTCTACCAGTAACTGGCACATGAAGTCCATAAATCCTGTAGATTTTCCTCATTGAAATTGCAAAACATGCTCTGGATCCTGTCATGGAAAATATGTGTGTTTAGATTTTTTTTTGTACAATAACCTCAGGCACAGACCCCCCATTTTTGAGCATTATTTCATTTGTTTCAATAGAAAATGTTTTCATTATGTAGAAAAACAGAAACAGTTATTGGTGCCCTGGAACCTTTATCTGTTTTCTGAAAGCTCGAGGCGATCCCAAACTTTTGAACAACAGTGCGTGACGCAAGTACAAGAACAAGGATGTTGCAAAATAATCAGTAAAAAAAAAAAAATCTGCATTACTGTGTTAGAAAGTTAGGTCATGACTGGAAGTGGAACACAGATGCCTGGGAACAAACCACTGGGTCGTGAATAGACGGAGTTGAAGAGGAATATGAGATAAATTTTAATGTTTGGTTTGGTGTGATTCAGCTGAGAGATGAGATGCATTGATAAAAACAAACAGAAATATAATTAATAGCAGCTTTT